CCTTACTAAAAAAAATTTTTTGAGACATTGACCTTACACCTGAACTACCTTTATATTTTTTTCCATATTCTTTTCAGTATTATTAACATCTCAGCAACCTCTTCTGTCAGTTCTAGACACCAAGATATGATTCATGTGAGCTTGATGACTAAATCCATCAGGGGCCCCTAGGTGTACTCTTACCATCTAACTTCAACCTTCTATTAGTAACTTTTGTTCTTTGTTTTCTAGTCCAGAAGTCGTTCTCCTTGTCAGGACACAAAAGCAACTTGGGAATTGAGCAGCTTTATCTTCTTTATCATGACCCCATCCACCTCAAACAGTGGTCCTATCCCTTTTTGCTCCTACTCTTTGCCAATATAGTTTACACAATTTTTATTGTCTATGGCTTTTCCTCACATCTGGAGTACCGTGTGCAGGTCTGGGTACCACATTTTGGGAAGGACATTACCAAGCTGGAGAATGATCTGAGGCAGACAACCAAATTAAGTTAATGCTATAAGAGGACTCCTTAAAGAAGCTTGATGTTGAAAGTTGAAGATTCCCCTGCCCAGAATGCTTCAGTGGCTCACCACAGTGGACGGAAAAGAATTCAGATTTATTACTCTTGATCCAAGCCCCTCTACACAATCTAACCTTCCTGTTTTCTCATTACTCATTCACACAAATCCTCTACTCAAGCTAAAATACCATTCCCTACAGAACTAGGCAATGATAGACTACTGACCTCTCTGACTTCTTTGAAGTCCCAACTAAAATCCTACCTTCTACAGGAAGTCTTTCCCAAGCCTCTGAATTCTGGTGCCTTTCCTCTTTTAATTATTTCCTATTTATCCTGTATGTAGCTTATATTTATAGTCTCCGAAGAGCCTTTGTTCGTATTTCCTCTGCCTGAAATTAACAATACACCTAACTTTTCCCCTACCCCTATGATCTATAGGATCCTTCAAGGATAAGCTCAAATCTTCCATAAACCTTCAGCTTTTAGAACAAGACCATATACGTAACAGGCAATTTCATTTGTCCTTAGTTGTATAGAAATACGCTGCCTGCACTCAAAATGCTACAATCTAGTTAACTGGTATTTGCCCAGATATGATTTGATTTCTGTAACTCCTTACCTTCTGTGAAAATTTGGGTGTTTAATATTTAATCCACTAAAGATTTATTATACAGATTAACTTCATTATCTGTAAAATAAGGGTTTGGACTAGATGATCTCTAAGGCCCTTTCCAACTCTAAATCCCATGATCCAGGGAGAAATATTAAAGGGTTGCAAATATCAAACTAGTATTTTGATAGGAAATAATTCCAGTGGAAACTGTAAAAGTCCCTCTAATTTATCAACTTCTGATAAGACATTGTGCTCATCTTGGGGTCAGAAAAGAGCTAAGTTGGAATCCATGTCACATAAAGGAAAGCCACTTTCCATCTTGTTTCTTCCCTTACCTCATTGCTTCTGCTAATTTTTCTTCATTACTCTAAATCTATCTGAAATTTGATTTGTTTCACAAGCAGATAAATGGGGCTTACTGAATTAAAACATTATTTGAAGCATATGGAGGCAATGTGAAAGAAAAAAAGAGAAGGTAGAAATAACAGAATGGACCTCACAAATGTACAATTGAATAATCTGAAGTTTTTAAAAAGAAGATAATATCTGAAGTGCAGATCTAATATCCACAAACAGCATGTAGAGGCTCTCAGTTCCTATAAGAAAAAGATCTCTCATTTGGACTCCACAACTGTCACATTACATGGGACAGTCAAACATGTTTGGCAATCATGTCTACCTGTTTTACACTTCACTTGATAAGTCATTAAAAGGTCATCAGCTATCTCTAAATCTTCCAATCTTTGGAAGTGATAGCAGGACATCTTTATTGAATACTTTTAAGGTGATGTTTTTCTCTTAAAAAAAAAAAAGACAAATATAGCCCATATACAATGTTGACAATGAGATCTTACCTTCTCTGCATGTTCCAGACAATTGTGAGATGGCAAAATGTGATCTGCTACAGTACATAATTTTCAAAAATTGCCTTTTCCCTACCTAATGTTACCTTCATCAAGGATACCCTCAATGAATACATAGATTTTCTGAAATGTAGAGATGGTAAAATTGAACTATAGGGGTCAGTTACTGGTATTTTCTCAGTTTTTTTTTTCTTAAATAATTAGGTCCTTGATCTTTTCCAAGTCTTTGGTATTGAAGCATCACATCTGGATACCAAACTTTAAAGTCTCCTACAAATCACTTCTTACATCCAAAAGTTACTCTTATTTATCTGACTTGTAGCGTGGAGTTTACAACTTGTTCATAAGATCATAAATCTAGACCTGGATCACCAGATTATAAATAGGCAACAAGAAAGGCCCTTAGGGGTTATCAAGTGCAATTCCCACATATTTTCTAGATGAGGAAACTGAGGCAAAGAAGTAACTTGCCCATGGCCAAAGAGCTATTGTCTGAAATTTGAACCCAGGTCTTCTAAACTCCATCTCCAGTCAAGGAACCCCTAAAACTAACTGGTCCAACCTCATCATTTTACAAATGAGGAAATTCAGACCAAAACGTTAAAATTGCTTGCCCAAGGTCACATGGATTATACGTATAAGAGGTGGGATTTAAATTTAGCGGCTTATTGTGGATAAGCTATACAAAGATAATTGCATTTTTAATGCATTTTTCTGTCATCAAGGTAGACTGCAGCCATGTAAATTAATTTTCCTAATTACAAGTTTTCAGTACCTGGATAGCTTCTAAAACATTCTCATAAACTTCTCTGCATTCTTACACAGACCATACTATACAATTTAACCTTAAGAATTCTTTTCATTATGAATAGCTTCTATTGTGGGGTAACACTGAGATGCCATTAGTATAATTAAGTCCTGTCTTACCCACTGAAGTAGAAACATTTGTTAAGCAAATACTTCCTGAGGAAAAGATGAAAGAAATAAATTCTTATTCAAGTTGGTATTATAGTGTTATACTTATCTCTTAAACAAATGAAAATTCTCAAAAGATTTCAGGCTCCAACAGAAACGCATAGTACAAGAACAGCAGAATCATACTGTCAGTCAAGATGTGATCATTAATACCATCTTGTGGAGGGAACTAGTATAGTTACTAATATTTATTAACTTCTTATTGATGTAATGGGAATGCCTTGAATCATGGTGATGCTATGGATAAATCATTACCACCGATCTTTCTTCAGTACGGCAAACACATGCTATTTAATCTCTGTTTTCCGAAGCAAATTACAAGCCCTCTGAGGCTTAGTAGACTGCAGTCAATAACATGGTAAGGAGTCTCCCTGCACAAAGGCCAGTCCTCTGGGCTCATGCTCAAAACCCTTTCCCAACTCGGCAGCAGCTGACAAGAGTTTGTGTCCTTACATAGCTGAGAGTTCAACGTCATCATCCTATCACAATGAGATATCAAGGCTTCAATGGAGTCTCAATAATCTTACCACTGGTCTTTTCACAGAAATGTAACCAGACGATTCCCAGGATGATTTCTTGAATATCTAATAAATAATTCTAAGGAAGCAGCTACATACCATCCAAATGCAAGCTGAAAAGTTGACCAGCAGGAGACGTGTGGAGGGGCAAAAGGGGGAAGGGGGGGAAGAGTAGAAGAACAGCAAGAAGGGTTAACAGTTAATCTTTAACATCCAACTTTTCTTTTTTTTAAGGCAATTGGGGTTAAGTGACTTGCCCAGGGTCACACAGCTAGTAAGTGTCAAGTGTTTGCTCTGAGGCCAGATTTGAACTCGGGTCCTCCTGACTTCAAGGCCCATGCTCTATCCACTGCACCACCTAGCTGCCCCAACATCCAACTTTTACAAGTATATTTTACTGACAAACTTTTAAATACTTATAGCCCTATATGAAGTAGATACAAATGTACACACTTTTCTTGGGCTTTTTCTTGTACACAGTGTTGATGACACAGCAGGCATTCAAATACTGCTTTGTTCAAGTATTTATTAAGTATACAATATATGTGAAGCATCAAAGATCAAAAACATAAATAAATGGACCAAGCCCTTGAAGAACTTGATTACTGTATTGCAGATGGATGATTTACATCATTACATTAAAAACTCTAAACTTCTATAATGCAATAATAATGGCTTGCATTCCAATGGTACTTTACAATTACCAAGTGCTTTCACACATTTGATTTCATTTGATCCTCACAACTAGTCCTGTGCTACAGGTAAGGAAACAGCTGAGAAATTAAGTGGCTTGCCTAAATACTAGCTAATAAATGGATTCAGGGTTTAAATCAAAGTTTTCCAGCTTCTACTATTTTTTTCTAATACCTCACACTGTTTCCTCATACTATATAAGCCCTCACAACTTTAACAATGTGAAGCTAATCTAAATGATAGTATATTTGTTATTATTTGAATGTACGAATAAATTGTCAAAGTATTACCTAGTAAGATGCCATGAGATGGAACTACTTTAGTAAATATATAATTGAAAGGCTATGAAAAAATTATAAATTCCAAGTAAATAAGTATATTGAAACCTTTTGCTCCTTTATTCATCACACTCAATTTACACAAGTAATCTTTTTCTTGGTTTGATAAACCTCAAGCACATCATCTTTTGAAATAAAAAAAATTCTCATTCTCAATTTGAATTAATGAGGTTTTACTATATTTTACACTGCTATGATTAAACATCTACCAAAATAAGGCAGATACTATAAAACTCGGGTAGGAATAAGATCATTATTGAGGCAAAGGAGACCTGCAAATCATTTATTTCATTGTTATGTATGTAAATGGCACAATAAGCTGAAACATTTTGGATATGCTTTGCAGTGCTACATTTCTCATTTTTAGATTAAGCCATTTCTATTTCTGTTAGATGGAAGGATTCAGAAAGTTGGACCAGGAGCCAGTACATATAAGCTTTGGAATCATACAAGTTTTGAGTTGGTTATTTTTTAAAATAAAGACAGTACACTCAATGATTTATCAAATGCTTACATTATATTTTGTAAAGGACAACAGTCAATAAATTCACTAATGGTGTAAAGAGATTACATCCTCCCACACTGACATATGAGCACACACATACATTCTCTAAACATAAACATAGCTTAAATTCACAAATACCCCTTTTGCTTCAAGACTAAAGTTCTATTAAAAATCACACAATGGTAATTTAGTTATTTGATGCAACCACTAATCTAGTATTTTCCCAATAAAACCCAAGTATTTATATCACAAAACCCAGGTTATAGTCAGTGGACATGCATTAATATACAACTGAACATTTCACCAAAAAAGGTACCAAATACAAAATTTCTCTTAATTTTGGTGGCTCTCAATTTCATGGCACGTACCAAAAAAAAAAAAAAATTTGTAAAAACAGGTTTTAAATATTAGAAAGAAATGGTAAAAAAAGAAATTATTTAATAAAACTATTGAGTTTTCATGTAGGGCTGAAGCACTTAAAACTGACCCCCACCATCAAAACAGATGGCTAAATATTTACAAGTATTAGGCTTTAATTACAAGGGAAGTAGAGGATTCCTTTCTTCCTCTCAAAACCTTACAGGGTTTGGTTTGCCAATGTTAATAATTTTCTGTAAATACTGTAACACTAAAAACTCAGAAACATACATGGATATGTGGCAGGAATGAGAAATAACACAAAAATTTTCTAATTTTTGACCACCAGTACAAAGCCTTGTCACTCCCAAACACCTAACACTGTACCTCATATTACAGTAGCACCAAATTAAGAGTAGGCAAGTGCAGCTTCCTCTTAGGTGATGCTACTACTCCTTTAACAAAGCATCCTGCACTCTAGCAGAGCAGGGCTCAAGTTCTGGGTGGGTTTAACATATTTTTCTGTGGCTCAACAGGAGTTGCAAACTATGCTCTAACAACCAAAAAAACAAACCAAAACCCAAAAAACAACCATTGGGGTAAAGTTAGAAAACAAAATGATAAATACAAACTTTTCAAATAAAAAAGTATATCCTCATTTTCCTTCTGTCAGTGTCATGCTGATCTCAAAACCTATAGCCACAAAAAAAAGAAGTGAGGGCAGCTTATTGAAATAGTACAGTATTTTTCATCAAGGTTAAAGTGCAAGTAAGTATATCGCAGAATCTCTGGTATTACAAGTGGGTTATCAAATACTATAAAAAAATGACTGTCACAGGGACTAAAAAAGATGTTTCAGTTATGATCAGAAAAGTGATCCCTTAAGTTTTATATGTGAGGACTACCTATTTAGGGCTAATTTAACTCCCACGCCTACCAAGATTTTTGCAAATATTATACCAGTGTTTCTTTATAATGTTGATTTGTGTAATTCACTAACTACAGCAAGAATCCTAAGGCTGTTACAGGAAGAAAAGCAAACAAAATGACACAGCTTGACAGTAAAATAAGGAACATCAATTTTTAAACAAAAATGCTAGCAAAGAAATTTTGTATAATAGAGAGAATCTCATGAAACAAAAATTTAAGCATATTTATTAAGCCCTGGTCTTCAGGTGAAATAGATAACCTATTTCACCTAGGACTGTATTAAATATATCAGGTCTTCAGGAAGAAGATTATATCATAAATTATATATGTTCCTAAAAAAAATGCAAAATCCACAATTATACCCTTAAGCTAGCAAAAATATCACCATAAACCAACCTTAACACTCTTTAGCTTTAAAAAAACTTTTGAGAAGAAAAAAAACACTAATTAAATCTTCCTCTGCCAGATGAGAGCCTCAAATGGATCCAAAGCTTCATCAGTGAAAAGACACAAGTTAGTAATTTCAAAAGAACACACTGGATAGCTTCATTCAGTCCCTTTGAAAAAGAAAAGCTTAAATAAAAAACAAACAAAACACGAATTCTAATAGTGTAAACAAGTCTGGCTCAGCAAGGAAACTGAACGCAAATCCAAGATTATGTCCATGAAAACAATGATGGTGCATCTTTAATATTAAAGAAATCAGAGCTATAAAAAAAAGTTCATATTCAAAGCCATCTTTCCAAAGCTTATTTGTGCTCCTTTGTTGGTGCGTAGTAAAGTTCCATGGGTTTGTTCACTTTCCAGTATTTCTCACTGACAAGTTCCAAGGAAAAAGAACCATTTAACACCTAAGAACAAAGAGAAATATGTATAATTGGGGGTAATAATTATTATAAGAATTGAGAATATGAAAACAGCCAAAAGACATTAAACAATAATATTGAAAAACAAAATACAAATTAGTTCTTCTGTCTAAAAGCTACTTCAGCTAAAAACAGCCTTGCCATTGGCATGGCATATTATAAGAAATAAAGGCCATAAAAATCAGCTTCCATAAAGAGAAATTTCTCTTTCTTTTCCCAATGACCTGGTACGTACAATTTTCTTTCAATAAGAGAAGATATATACTTATAGAAATTCTCTAGGCAAATCACTCTAAAACAATAAAATTATATACTGTTTCACTAACCCATATTTTCCCCTTTATTCATATTCATTTTTCCAAATGCTTTAAAGCATACATCTGCTATGGATAAACATCATGACACTGAAGTTAACAAAACTAGCTCCAACCCCCCTTTATGAATCAAAATGTATTTTGTATCCATCATTCGCTAAACTTCCTTCTGTCCTCTCTGGGTCAGTGTGATTGTAGAAGCATAGTCACATGTTTCAGATCCAATAGGCACTTAAGATCACTAAAAAGTTCTAAAGGAATCAAACAAAGATTGCCATTCTTTAGAAAATAAACTCCATAAAATTTCTTCTGTTAGAGTAGAGAAAAACCCTCAAGTACAGAGTTCCAAAGACTCTCCAAGGTATACTGCTCAAGTCTCTCAGTTAAAAAATGTTTAATTTGTTGCTGTAGCTTCTCCTATCCTTAATCTTCATTCCTCACAAAAGTGCTGTTAAGTATTCAGTATAAAGAAAGTAATCAAGTATTCAAAGGGCATATGAAATATATGGCAACTTCAATAAAGGTATTAAGACTTGAAGTGAATTCAAGAATCACATGACAAATAATTTCCTCCAAAAATCTTAGGTGTTCACAGAATAAGAAAAGGCTTCCTAGAAAAAAGGAAAGTAACCATACCTTCTATACAATGGGGGCGGGGTGCACTTAAGATTATGTTGTTAAAACTGTAGCTTAACAGGATTACATATTAATCCAAAAAGTAGCTTCAGGTACTCACAGTGAACTGTCCATTGGCTGTAGCAATGTAAATAGTGTACTGCTTCTCACTGGCTGTATCAAGGTTCATCTGGTTTGATTCTCCCTTGCTCCGAAGCTCTTCTAAAGCTAATCGCACAGCGAGGTACTTGGATAAGTGATCAACTGTGGCATTGCCTGAAGTCTTTATATATCTGAAAGAGAAGGAATTTTTAAAAGCCTAAGTTAAGTACTGAAAACAAAAGTAATCCACAAAATCTACTTAGAGTGTGAGTGCATCTATAATTTGAGGTACAAAATAAATGACTATCTGGAATGCTGACTATGAAACACATTTCTGACTTATATAAATTTCTAAGATATATTTCTGCATTTCCTACAGCTCCTATCTTGCTCTACCCCATCCACTGTATCGATATCCTACCCTTCCTTCATAACTCAACTTCAATGGTATCACCTACACAGCAAAGCTTTCCAAGTCTCTATCCTTGGGAATGCTTTTTCCTTCATTTAATTTCAGTCATTTATACTCTTCTTATACAGGTTATTATTGCTCTAATTTGTATTATAGTTATCTACATGTGCCTTTGCTCCTCTCCCAATTGTAAGGCTTTTGTAGATAAGGACTGTAGGTATCTCATTTATCCTTGAATACCCTTGAATTGATTGCATAGAGTATATGCTTAACAAATGTTTGGCAAATTAAAGAAAAGTAGGGATAATAGCAGGGCCCTCCCAAAGTGGTCATCAAGTACTGGATGTTATCTACCTTCATTTTAACTGGCCCCCCCCCCCCCCATATGCTCTACTCAATAATAGTGCAAAGTGAAAAGACAGACTCCAAATACAAATATATACAAAATGGAAAAAATCAGAACACTATATACTGTCTTGCATGCTCTCTAACACCTAATATTCAAAACTTCAGATTTCTCCCATCGGTTGAAGAACAAGAGTAGGGAGAGCAAAGGATGGAGGGGCTCTGGAATTCCTACATCATCTTTATGTCATGGTTTTAAGTGTCATAAACTCAATTACTTTAATTTCCAATTTACTAAATTCAAAATTATTTATAAACTCAATCTAAAAGCATTTATTAAAATTTACTACATGACAGGTTAGTTGCTAGGGTAAATGACACAAATATAAAAAAACCAAACCAACCATTTCCTGCCCTCGAGGAGCTTTCACTGCATATAGAAAATAATATGCACATACCTAAGTATACATAGAGTAAATCCAAAGGAATGTATAAGTAGCTGATGGGGAGGTAAGAAGTAGTCTCATGTAGGAGAGGTTATTTGACCTAAGCTTAGGACGACACCAGGGATTTTAAAAGTTGGAGGTGATAAGGGACTGTATTCCAGACTGCAACTAGAAAGAGGTGGAAGGTGGGACATCAGGTGTGAGGATCAAAAAGGCTAAACTTGTAAAGTGCATGTGGTGGTGGTGGTGGTGAAATAATTTCCTTTAGTCACGTTCAACCCTTCATGACCCCATTTAGGGTTTTCTTGGCAAGGATGCTGGAGTGGTTTGCCATTTGCTTCTCCAGCTCATTTTACAGATAAGGAAACTGAAGGAAACAGGGTTAAGTGACTTGCCCAGCATCACATGGCTAGTAAGTATCTAGGGCTGGATTTGAACTCAGGAAGAGGAGTCTTCCTGACTTCAGACCCTGTACTCTTATCCATCATGCCACCGAACTGCCCCGAAAAGTGCATAAACAGGATTAGTTTATAATAAGGATAGAAAGGTAAACTGGCATCCCTTTGTGAAGGGCTTTAAAAGCCAAATACAAAGATTTTGTATGTGAGTCTAGAAGTAACATGGAACCACTGGAAATTACTGAACAAAGATATAATCGAACCTATCCTTTAGGGGATATTCCCTTTGCAACTATGTAGAATATGGACTGGAAATGGGCAAGACTAGAGGCAATGAGACCAATTAGGAGACTACTGTCCAGAAAAGAGGTGAACTAGCTTGATGACTACTGAGTGGAGAGAATGGAGCTGATGCAAGAGATGTTATAGAGACAGAATAAGTAAAATTTGGGAACTGAATATGTGCAATAAAGGAGTAAAGATTTAAGGATGCAAGGTTGAAAACCTCTATGACTGAAAGGAGAGTGGTACCTTCTAACAGTCCCTGTTAGAAAGTGTATACCTATCATATCACTTATAAAAATTAAAATGAGGATTCAATTCAATAAGCATTAAATATCTCCTATGTATAAGGCAACGTGTGTAACAGGATGCTTAAAGTCCATTTTCGTTCTAAAATGAATTCTAAATACTGTTCAGATCTTTTGAAATTAAAGCATACTTACCTTGTCTGTGCACTGTCATCTTTCTCCATAAGAGTGGGATGAGGCCTGAAAACTAATTCAATTTCACTAGCACCATCCATTACTGGATCTATTGCCACAGTGGCATTGTTGTTATCAAGTTCTAATCCAGAATCATCTGATGTTTTGGTCCTTTTGTTACTAGGCCCTGCTTCTTGATTACTGTGTGTTGATGCATTACTACAGTGTGAACTGTCCCCATTATCCTCTGCTCCACTGCCATTTTCAATCTGTTGTTTCTTGCCTCGCTGCAACCTAATGAACAAAGTTATAAATGATATTACTAACTAGTCACTAATTACTAAAAGCAAAACAAAAAAGTAGCAAGTTTTATACTTTAACACTTATATCCTGACCTAAAGGTATAACAAAAACATTTCCCCCACCACAGGCTTGTAAAAAATACCCTATAAAAATTAGAAGAATTAAAAAACACGTAATAGCACTTAAAGATTAGCATTATTACATTACAAGTGATAGATTAAAATTGCTAAGAGAATTTCCAGGAAAACTAGTTTTCCTTTGTATGCATTATGTGTTTTAAAAGATTGAAACAATTCGAATCCAACATTCATTAATACAAGAAAAAGTACACTTAATTTTTTAAAAATTACAACCAATATATTTTCTCTAATATCTATTTCTATTTAACACAAGATATTAAAATGAGTTTAAACTCTTGAGTACAAACCAAGTGATGAGGATGATAGGGCTTTAAGGTTTGCAAAGCACTTTACATATCTCATTTGATTCTGATAAAAAGGTGGGTGCTATTATTATCCCCATTCAACCAATGAGGAAACTAAAGATGCAATAGGTTAAGTGACTTGCCCAGGTCACATAGCTAGGAAACGTCTGAATTTGATTCTTCCTGACTGCAAATGCAGTGCTTTGAGCAAAGTGGGAAACATCCCAGCAGCAACCTGGGATTTAAAAATGTATCGTATGAAGTTCACACACAGATATGGTGCTCTAACTGCCTATAATGTAATGATGTGTCCAGAAATCCTAATTCTCTAGTGATGCCACTGAATTTTTCAAATAATAGGTAATATTTATATGGTGCAGCTAGGTGGCACCACAGTGCACAGAGTGCCAGGCCTGGAGTCTGGAAGACTCATCTTCCTGAGTTCAAATCACTAGCTGTGCAACCCTGGGCAAGTTACTTAACCCTGTTTGCCTCAGTTTCCTCATCTGTAAAATGAGTTGGAGAAAGAAACAGCAAACCATTCCAGTATCTTTGTCCAGAAAACCTCAAATGGGATCAGGAAGAGACGAATGAAAAATGACTGAACAACAAAAAATATTTACATATTATTTTAAGGCTTGAAAAATGCTCTACATATATTATCTCATTTGAGGGTCACAACCACTCAGTAAGATAGGTGATATAATTAAACCCATTTTTACATTAAAAAAATAAAACTCAAGAGATTAAATGGCTTGGAAGTCACTGTCTGAACCAAGAACTAGATTCAGATCATCGTCATTCCAAATCTGACATTTAACATACTTTGCCCCCTAGCTGCCCCCCACTTCCCTTTTAAACACAGATATTTCATTTTAGCCTGCCTGAGTAATTAAGCAATGTATACTGAACACAATTTAACCTTATCTTGACAACTAAGATTGATGAGCATCATCTCCTGATACAGTAGCTATAGTGCTACCCTAAGGTACCATTTAGACATACTGGGCTTAGCATGCCTTTTCCCTGAATTCCTCTGAACTACTGCCATTCTCCCTTATCATTTCTTGTGTCTTCTCCTTCTGTGATCCCATTTTCTGACTTCATATCTCACTGCCATTAGTGGGTCTTATTTTTTCCCCAGGTTTAACTTCTTAAGGTATCACCTATGTAATAATCTCTGTTGTCTGCCTACTCCATCTCTGATTATAATCTTACCCACACCTAAAAGTTGCCAGGGGAAAAGAGACCACCAAAGTATTCTGTGTGAAATTAAGATAAATAATGGTCTGTGCCTGAGAAGGGAATAGGATGGCTCCATCTCTCCCCTATCCAACAAAGTACAGGAGTTTTGTAAAAGAAGCTTTTCCTTAGATTCACAGGACTTTTCCCTTTCAGTTTACCTAAAGGCTGAGATTACAAGTCTGCCAGCCTAATAAGTAGAAGCTCTATTTAACTATTTATTTAGTTCAGATTATAAATAAGTCTGGCATAGTTGTATTCTCCATGGAGCTTTCTGATCCAATAACATAAACTGCAGGGGGTTTAGGAAATTCCTAGTTCGAGGAAAGTTTCAGTGACCTTATATCCAAACAACAGGTGTTGTTACATCCAAACCAGAGATAAGGTGACATAACAGAAAGAATACTAGTCAGAGTCAAGGGATCAGATTTAAGGTCTTGCCTCTGCTTCTGACAAGCTGTGCAACACTAGACATAAGTGATTTATAATCATAATTTATATGTAAAACAGCCTAGCTCACATTTGAGGAATTATACTAAAAGCAACAACTACCTACTTGCTTTACCAGTCTTGGGGATTCACCTCTATGTCTCATTTCCCCTCATCTGTAAAACAAGGGCATATGACTAGATGACCAATAAGGCACTAGCTAGCTCTAAAATCTGTACTCCTATAACCTGTGTAAAATGCTAAGTATTATAAAAATGGAAGGTACCACTATACAATGATCCAGGTTGAAACTATAATCTGTCACATTGACAGTTCTTCATCTGGTTGTTAGACTAAGTCACTTGATCTGAATTTAGGACCTTTAATTAGCTGAACAGCTTTGAAAAAGTAAGTATTGTGACTTCTTCTCCTAAACTGTAAAAGTTAGACAAATCTAAATATAAAATCATAAAAAGAAGGGCAGAGGGAACACTTGTAGGAAGAAAGGGAAGGAATAACTCTTTCTCATGAATGGCAAAAACCTGTAAAGCAAAAATCATTAAGCACAGGATGAAATCCATAGCCCCTGTCCCCAAATAACTTTATTTAGAGCAAAAACAAGGAAAAGATAGGAGGCCTGCTCTATCTGCCGAGGAAAAGCTGACATAATGTTAACAGAGGACAAAGAAAGACTAGAACTACTCAGTCTCCCTTTTTGTATCCATCTTCTCTATCGAAGATAATGATATTCAAAATTAGAAAGGGTAAAATAAACATCAGTAAGAGGAAAGAGTAAGAGAACACCTAGCCAGCATGAATGGGTTCAATTCTCCAGGCCATCTCAATTATCCCTTGGTCCTAAAAGAATCTACAGATGCAATCACATGCCTGTAATACACTCTCTCCTTTCCTCTGCCTTGTAGAATCCCTTCAGGAGGTAAGCACTGTCTTCTGCTAAATGATTTCCCAACAACAAGTAATGGCCTCTCCCCTAGACTACCTTCTTTTTTTATTTTGTATTTAGTCTGTATAAACTTATATACATATATGCTGACTCCCCCAGTAGAATGCATACTACTTGAGAGCATGAACTGTTTCACTTTTGTCTTCATATCCTTGGTGGATGGCACATAATAATACTACTTAATGCTTAATTAATAAGTTGAACAGGAGATATATAAAGAGAATGAATTGAGAAACATGGTTTGAGGATTGTTTAATCACTTATCACCAACCTAAAGGAACATCTCCATGATACACTACAGGTTTCTATACAAAGTCCTGTCTCTTCAACATTTTTATCAACAACTTAGATGAAAACATATATGCTTAACAAAAGTGTAAATGAGAAAACCAAAGATGGCTTAATATCACGGATGACAAAATCAAGATTTTAAAGGATGAGCTTGAAATAATAGGCCAAAACTAAGAAGATTAAAATCCAATAGGGATAAACTTAAAATCCTATATATAGTTTGTTGCATAAAATAAGTACAAGACAAAAGAAGACTAGGGCTTTTAGTCAACTAAGCTCAACATGAGCCAACAGTTATGCTAAAAAAAAAAAAAAGGTTCTTTGTAATATTCGGTCATATTAATATGGCCACCCATTTGGTAGTAGTCAGATTACATACATCTTAAAATATTTTATTCAATTTTGAGTACCATATCTTAAGAGAGTCATTAGTTAAATTAGAATATTTCCAGAGAAAGGTAAATTCATGAGTAATCTGGAAACCAAATATGATTGCATGGTTAAAAAAAAATAGTGAATTTTACCTTACAAAATAAATGATTTGGGAGAACATAATACTTGTATTCAACTAAACGAACAAAAGACATGTGAAACACTGCCTCTCTGAAGCTTCTGGAAGCAAATCTAGATCAATGAATAGAAGTCAGACAGAAGTATTATTTCAGTTCAGTAGAAGGGTGAACCTTCTTATAACAAAAGCTGACCAAAAGAGTGCATTGTAAAGGTAGTGAGTGTCCTGTCAATAAAGGTGTTCAAGCAGAGGCAGGATAATCTCCTGTCAGTACTTGAGGAGACTCTTGCTTTGAGAAGCTGACTAGATAACCTCCAGAGTTCTTCAAACACTAAGATTCCATGATTCTGCCAATAAAATACAACACTTAGTCTTTATTCTCGCTTTGATACATAGATTACTACGTTAGTTCCTCATAGCAATAATGGAAAACATCTTTCAATTAGCAATCGCTGGCAAATCTGAACTGCAATTTGGATTCCAAAGAGACTGCAACAATCCTCAAAATGGAATTAATCAATAAGCATTTACTAGACACTAAATGCCAGGTCTTGTGCCAAGTACTATAATATAAAGAAAGGCAAAAACATGATCCCTGCCCTCAAGTAGCTCACTTTTAATGGAAGAAACAAATGCAAACAACCATGTACACATACAGAAGATGGATACAGCATAATTCGAAGGTTATCTCTGTAAATTACACTGGAGGAAAAAAACCCTATTAAACATATACTCTTATATACACACTCTCAAAAGTTTCAAAAAGAAAGTTACACTAATTCGAATTCTATTCACTGGGACCACAACTCAAAAGTATTTTAAAAAAGAGAAAGACAAACATCTGTTACTGGGGGGAAATGGAAACAACCAAAACATTCAATAATTGGAAAATGGTTAAATAAACTGTGGCATACAAATATAATCAAATATTATGATGCAAGTAAAATTAGAAAGTAAGAGGAATTCAAAGAAATCTGAATGAAAATATCTACATGAAATAAGTTCAAGCAAAGAAAGAAGAATCAAAAATAAGCACAGAAACTAATGTAAAAGAAATATACATAAATATCAAAAATGAGGAAGTAATGTGTTATTATCAATATTTTATGATGAAATTCATTTGTTCAAATGTAAACATCCACACAGTCTGTTTAAATGTTTTTACTGATAGTTATCTTCACAATAAACCATATAAAAAAACAAAAGTCACAAAAATTCATCAGTTTCCAACCATTCACTATCCTCTTCCCCACATACCTGTTCATAGCCTGTATCTTCAGTCCCTCTTCAATACTGTGACTGAGAGCTTGTTGATTGTTGTGTTTGCTGATCCTTGCTAAGACTCTCTCTTGATGAGCTTCATATTCATCACGACTTGGATAAATTTTACTGATGAGAGCATCAAAATTTGGATCCGGCCTTAGTGATCTTTTGGAAACCAACTTTTTCCGACAAGTAGGACATTCTTTGTTCCTAAATGAAAAGAAATAAAATTAATTTATAAAATGCTTATATCCTTAAGTTAAAAGAAAATTATCTGGTCTGCAACTGGTTGTTAACTTTATAAGGCATGATCTACCAATCAGCAATTGTCAGGAATGAGTTAAAAAAATTTAAACAGGGGCAGCTAGGTGGTACAGCAGATAGAGCACTGGCCCTGGAGTCAGGAGGGCTTGAGTTCAAATCTAGACCTCAGATACTAATCCTGACTGCCTCAAAAGAAAAAAAAAATTTAAACAGATCAAGATAAATACTTTCAAGAAGAATATTTTTTAAAATTCTTGTTTAATCATATTTATAGATCTTTTGTTTTTAGACATGTTATAAATATATATTATTTATATTGTGCTATACATAAAATGTTATAGATTATATTACAATCTTATACTTGGAGAGAAACTTTCTATTTGACAAGAACTTTTGGGAAAAATAATTTGCAGTTTGGCAGAAGTTGGGTTTAGACTCACTACTTATACCATAAACTACAATAAGCTCTAATCAGATGTATTAGTTATTTAAGGTAATACCATAAAAAAAACAGAAAATCAAGATAGTTACTTTTCACAACTATGCCTAGAACAGGTCTTAAGAGATATATAATTATGTTTTATATTTATACATACACATGTATGTCATGCTAATTTTTAAATATTCTCCATCATGAAGTCATTCCTTATAACAAAGATTTTAAAAGAATTTAAAAAAAGACCCAACAGTTTGGCAAAACTAATCAATAGATGACCCACATTCTACACCCATAGTTCCTCTTCCTCTTCAAAGAAGGGAAGAAAGTAATTTTTTTCAATTCTTCTTCAGGATAAAACTTGATCTCTGTAATTAACACTTTATTCAGTTTCCTATCTCTGTTCTTTCCATTAAGATTTTTGTAGTCACTGTGTATATTCTTTTCTTTTTTTTAATTCATTCTGAATCCATTCATATAAGTCTTCCCAATGCTACTCTGAATTTAAATAGCCACCATTTCTTATATTGCTATAATATTCCTTACATTCATATTGCAATTTGTTTAGTCATTTCTCAATTGATCTACATCTATTTTGTAATCAGTTCATTACTACCACAAAAAAGTTAAGTTATTTCTGAATTTATATCTTAGTGTATGTGGAACTTTTCTGTTGTTGACCTTCTTGGAGTATGTTTGTAGGCTGTGAAATCTTTTGATAAAAAGGCAGGGACATTCTAGTCATATTTTTAGCATAATTCCAAACTGCTTTCCAAAATGCTTAGATCAAAGCACAGCTCCAGGAATAATGTATTAGCATGCCTATCCTTCTGCAGTCCCTCCAGTGCTGACTATCCTTCTCTTATGTCATCTTTCCCAGTTTGCTAAGTGTAAGATAAAACTTAAAAAGTTATTTTAATTTGTATTTTTATTATTGCAATTTAGTGATTTTGTATAACCTCTCATATTAACAGTTTGTAATTTCTTTTGAGAATTGTTTTGTTCCAAGGTTTTCTTTGTCTACTTATCCAGAGAGAAATAGCCTTCAGTCTTAAATATCTGTATTAGTTCCCCATAAATCTTGATTAGCAGATCTTCATCAGAAATATCTGATGCAAAGATTTTTTTCCTCAAGCAACATCTTCCCTTCTTATTCTAGTTGTGCTGATTTTGTTCATGTAAAACCTTTTCAATTTCACAGAGTCAAAATTATCTATTTACTATTCTGTGATCATCTCTGTCCTTTAAGACCTGTCCTCGAGGCATAGCTAAGAAAGGTAATTGATCTGGTTCTCTTCTAATTTTCTTTTTTATGGTGTTACCTTTAATAGTAAGGTAACACATCTATTATTAGCTTATTATAGTTTATGGTATGCGGGTAGTCTAAACCTAATTTCTGCCAAACTGCCATTAATTTTTCCCAAAAGTTCTTGTTAAATAGAAAATTCTTCTTTAAGTAATTTATGCTCTTAGGTTTGTAACAATAGCTAGCATTTACACAGTACTTTAAGGTTTGCAAAGCACTTTACAAATATAACTTTATTTGATCCTCATAAAACCCCTGGGAAGTAAGTGCTATTATTATCCTCATTTTACAGATAAGGAAATTGAGATAGAGTTTCACTTGGAAGTATCTGAAGCAGAATTTGAACTCTTCCCAACTCTAGGTCTATCAATCTATCCACTGAACTTTCAAACACTAATTTAATTCAGTGGTTTCTGGTTCTTCCTTATCTATAGTTTCCTTTTTATTTATCTTAACAAAGATCTAACAAGATTTATAAAATTCTGAAAAATAAAATTAAACTTTCCCATAATTACTGTGTTATGTGCATTTTTTGCAATTTAGTTACTTTTCTGGTATCTTATCAGTTGAAGAAAACTGAAGGGAAACATGACAGCTGTCTTTAAGTACTTGAAGGACTATTACGTGGAGGGGGAAACTGGACTCATTCTTTTGCCCTCACAGGGTCAAAATAGGCATAATGGGTAGAAGCTGCAAAGTGACAAATTTAGGGCTGACATCAGTAAAAAGCTTCAAAACAATTTAGCGCTATGCAAGAGTGCAATAGGCTGCCTCCACAAATGGTGAGTTCCCTGTCCTTGGAGTCTTCAAGCAGAGGTTGGACAGTCCCGTTTCAGGTATATCATAGTAGTGATTTCTTTTGTGTAATAACTACTGCGGTCCTTTTTCAACTCCCAATTTCTATGATTCCTTTATCAAGTTAAATGCCATGCTATGGAGCATATACATTTGGCACTAATATTGGTTCATTATTTAGTTTCTTTAAGCATATTGTAATTTCCAAAAATTATCTCTTGATTTTGTGAATTTTCATTTTTGAAATGTCTTTTAGAATGATTCCAACTTCTGTTTTTTGTAATCACTTGCTACACAGTAACTTGTCCTAATTTCTCATTCTGTATGTATGTTTAGTTTTTTGAAGTGTTTCTCAGAGCAGATAGGTAGGGTTTGTTCTTATCCATTTTACCAGGCTCTTTGAATTTCAGTGAATGGTTTAATTCATTCACATTTACTGCTTGTCCTTTGTTCTCAAACATGACCATGACATCAGGGAGGTGATGCCATGACATGCAAGTGAATTGGATTTCAGTGAATGAGGGCTGTGCAAAGTCACCACCCTCACTTTCTCCTCTGGAGCTATTTGGGTCCAGTGGCCAGATAGGGATCTGGACAACTGGAGATGGCCCAGGAAGTAGTGGTGGGCCTTGGCCTTTTCAAGCTAAGGTCTTTAACAGGTCTCAGTATGAGTGAGGCAGAGCCCATTCAGTGATTAAGGCTTAATAACAAAATAAATAATAAAGACATAAAAATAAATAATTTTTAAATAAAAAAAACGAGGCAAAGAGTGTTTGAAAAAGCCAAGGTCCCTTAGATGAGGTTACCAAGAGGTAAGAGCAAAGTTCTTTTGTGGAACCCTTTCCTCTTCCTACCTGGGACAAGACTTCACCTTTCTATTCCATCATTCTCATCCTAGTACCATCCCTCCATTGTTTTTATCCTATTTTTCCACAGTTCCTCACTCTTGTTAAGAAACTAAAGTAATTATTATCCCTTTACTGTTCAACTATGGTACTGGCAAAGACTTGCTTCCCTGTTACTTATCTCTCCTCTCTCCATTTGCTTAATTAACTATGCTCTTATTCCCTCTCACAAAAGATACTGATTCACGTACAAAGGATAAGGATATTTATTTCATGGGGTATTCATTCAACTCTCCCTTTCTTTCCCCAGGTTCCCTAATTTCCCCTTAAATCTTTAGTCCTTCAATTTTTTTGTCCTGATAATAGCTCTGTTCTCTCCTTTACCTCACAAACTGATTTTTTTAAAAAACAAAAGCTCATAAACATTAATAAGTTTAATTAATTTTACCTTTCTATTTGTTGTTTGGAATGTCTGTAAGAGGAAAACATTTGTTTGTCTCTTTCAACAAATGCCTCAAACACTTCTTTTCTGTTGAAAGTCTTTTTCTGAAAAGATTGTTCCATTTCAAAGTGGAGTAAGAAATAAGTGGGGGCAACTAGGTGGTACAGTGGATAGAGTGCCAGACCTAGAGATAAGATAGGAAGACTCATCTTCCTGATTAAAATCTGGCCTGAGATACTTACTAGCTGTGTGACCTTGGGCAAGTCACTTAACCCTCTTTGCCTCAGTTCCTTATCTGTAAAATTATCTGTAAAACCACTCCACTATCTTTGCCAGGAAAACCCCAAATTGGGGTCAGGAAAAGTAAGACACGCCTGAAACGACTGACCAACAAATGCGTCAAACACTTCTATCCTGTTGAAAGTCCTTTTTTGTAAATTATGAGGCTCAGATTTAGGTCAGTTTATGTCCCTTTGTTCTTTAGAATATTGTTCCTCTATTTTTTTTTCTACTTCCTATGACTACAGAATGATCTTGAGTTATTTAAAATGCCTTTCCTTTTATTTAAAGGTCTTTCTCCTAACTGCTTGGCCCCTGTTCTATTAGACTTAAGATGCTTAAATTATTCTTTATATCTTGTCTTTTAGACCACTTACATTGGCTTATAGAGAATCAATATTCTTTTAATATTGTTGCCTTTAGTTTCTCCAGCAAAATATTCTTCCACTTCGGCATTTTTGTGTTCCACAAATATTATTTTCTCTCAAGAGACTCTACTTAGGAGAAATTCTATCATGACTTCATTCTTTCCCACTCTGTCACTGGTGGTTTTTAATTCAACACTGAGAGTCCCAATTTTTTAAATAATTCCTGTCTTGCCTGGATATCAGACTGCAGCAGTAGTGCTCAATGAAGGTGAAGATAGGTTGGGACCAGCTGGTAAACAGTTTTAAAAGTTAAACAGATTAATTTATATTTAATCTTAAAAGTAGTAGTGAACCACTTGAGTTTATGGAATAGAGGAGTGATAATAGTCAAATATTTACTTAAGGAAAATCATTTCGGCAGTAGAGCCCAAAACGGATTACAGTGGGGAAAGACAAATTAGGACATGATTGTAATAATCCAAGATGTAACAGGAAACTAAGGCCATGAACTAAAGGTAGTAGATATGAGTAGGTCAAGAGACTGAATGTGAGAATGTTGTGGATGTGGAAACAAGGATTTGGCAAATGTCTGGATGGATAAAGTGCAGCAGAAGAGGGATTCAACAATTTCACTGAAATTGTAAAAATGGGAGACTGGGAGATGGTAGTACCTTAACACAGACTGGCAAGCCTGGTGGTAAAATAAGTTCTATTCTGGACATATTGTGCTTGAGATGTTGTGAGATCAGGTCTGAAATAAGCAATTGATGATACAGGAACACAGCTCAAGGGGAGACTGGATCAGGTGGATCTGGGAGTGATCTACATAGATAGGTAAGGTTACCAAGAGATAAGAGCAAAGAGAGAAGAGCGAGCCTTGGGGAACACCCACAGTTAGGGAACGTGCTATGGATGATGAGCCAAAAAGGACATTCATAAGAAGCAGTCATCATAGGAGAAAAGCAAACTTGAAGACTCATAGAGGAGAGGGTATACAAGAGGAGAGAGTGGTCAACAGTATCAAATGCAGCAGACAGATGCAGAAGGACTAAGATCTCTTCTCATTAGATCGGGCAATGAAAGGCTCACTAGTAACTTCAGCAAGAGCAGTTTCAGTTGAGTGATGATGTCAGAAAAGAGACTGCAAAGGGTTGAAGAGTGAGAGAAGAGAAGCAGAGGCAACAGGTATAGATAGCTTTGTGGTCTTGGCCAGGAGAGGGACCACCTCAACCTCACTGGCAGAGACCATGGGAAAAGAGGGAATGGAGTGGAGGGGAAAGGGGGGATGGAGTGGAGAATGTCGTCAAGGGGTTTTTTTGAGATGAAGAAGAAGCTGACATCAAATGGCCTCAATTTTCTCTGTAAAGTGAGAGGAAAGGTGCTCATCTGAGAGGAGGGATGGAAGGCTTAAAGAGAAAAGAGCAGTTTTGGAATAACTTTTGAGGGAAATGAAACAGAGAATCAATTATGGTGGAATAAATGGATTCCTTTGTCATCATGAGGGTCCAGTAAAGTTGGATAGCATGAATTACTAATTTCTTCAGCAATTTCCCAGACAGTCACTTACTCTTTCTTTCCCATGAATGATCAGAAAAGGTGTCTTCTGCTTCTCACTGGATGGGGTTGGAGGAAGTTCAAACTGTGGGCAAAGTGGGCAGAGATTTCCCATAGCCACTCATTCAATCACAAGCCTAGGAGTTTATACTTACTGCAGATTGGGTTGGGAGATGGGGGACACTAAGTGGGAGTGCTAAATATTTGTTTGCAAATGTTATCTGATAAGATTTTACTCTGTTCAGTGTTTGTGTTCTCTTATGAAGATTCAGCTTCAGGTTTTCATATCTCTGGTACATAATTCCTTTCTCTGAGTTTTTGGGTTGCTAATAGCAACCATTCTGTCATTTTGCTGGTCTACCCCCAAAACAAAGACTTTAAAAACTGCACCAACTCTTACTAATAAAAATCTAGAGAACGCTCCATGATTTTACATTTCATTGTGAACAAATTATGCTTACTAGATACAATGTTAGAAATTTTTTTAAAATTAAGCTCATAATTAATTTTCCCATACTGCTACACAAAGCACAAGAAACATACTCATGTCTGGATTTATTTAAAACCTGTTATCAGCTCTTGCCTTGAAATAGTATATGCTGGTATATACCATGCTCCATAGGGATATGATTTTATCCACTTAAAGACTAGAAAAAAAGTATGGCTTGCTTTCTTCTCAACCTTCCCGAGAAACATGAATCTTATATATACAGTCTCCTAAGATAACATCAGAACAGAATCAACTCTTATTATTTATTTTTAATATTTTTCTCATTTCAAGATCCATAAAGTTACTGATTTATTATAAACATGCCCAGAAAACATGTTCCTTTCTAGTTCTAAAAAGAACAATTCTTTTTGTATACTGTATTCTGTATATTCTTCTGCATAAATGAAAATTATAATTTCTTCAACAACTCTTTGGGCACCAGAATATTTTCTTTTCTTTCTTTTTTTTGGCTTTTTGGTGAGGCAATCGTGGTTAAGTGACTCGCCCAGGGTCACATAGCTAGTAAGTGTCAAGTGTCTGAAGCCGAATTTCAACTCAGGTCCTCCTGACTCCAAGACTGGAGCTCTATCCACTGCGCCACCTAGCTGCTCCACACCAGAATACTAATAGTTAAAGGGCTTTCTAATTCCCATGCAACAATGTCCTAACACAACTTGAGAGCCTAAAAAATATTTCAGCATACCCCTCTCTTTTTAAAATTTTGAATATTTTTTCAATAACATACAAAAACAACTTTTAACATTCTTTTTTTTTTAAATTTTTAGTTACAAATTCTCTCCTCCCCCCCCCCCCCACCAACTCCCTGAGACAGCATGCAATTTGATATAAATTATATACAACATACCCACTTCTGAGGGCTGTGATGATACAGTCTGCACAGAAACGATGTAAACACTCTTTTGTGGTCATAGTATTCTTCAACATATCCAAACAGATTGGGCACATTAATTCACTATGGAGACTTCTAGGTGATACTACAATTTCCAGGCCATCAGTTATTGCTTCCTACAGATTAAAAAAAAAAAAAAAACACTTGAGTAAAATGCTCGTATTTCTTTCTTTGTAAATCCCTAAAATCACTGATTTCTGTAAGTATCTGAAAGACAACTAAATGGGGGGCAGTAAAACATAGTAGAAAGAGCACTGAGCTGGAAGCTATGAGCCTACTTATAAGCTTAAGTTCAGTGGTGGCTCTCCCACTAATTAAGCTTCAGTTGTCTCCTATGCAAAATGAGGTAATTGGACTAGATAAGGTCCTTTCCAGTTTTAAACATCTATCAATTGAACAAATGGTTCACAACCATACCACAGACCAGTAAAATATCTAAATCCTCTATTACAAACTACTTTGCCTTACACAACCTAAACCCAGAAGCTCAAGGAACAGCAGACAGCTAAGACAGGAAAAACAGGGTACAAAGAAGAGGAGTTTTAGGGCTTTCAGTAATAAAAGTTTTGCATACTGATAAGACATATGCCTGGTACACTGGGACACAGTGATAAAATGATACATCCCATAAAAGCATGTTCTACCTAACATCATTAACCCTACAAAAAAAAAATTACTATGTAAAATGGTATTATAAGGGGCACTTGGCTCAGAATACCACTGACCATCTATTCTGCATTATCAATGATCAAAAGGGTTTAGTTATCAGGATATGGCAAAATGCCAGTGGTCAAGTCAACAAAATGTAGGCTATTTTAGGTTTTTAAATGTTAAAAATAGTAAATACAGAGATTTCTATAAACTAAATCATTTCTTATAAGTGCACAAATTTATCTATCTCAGTGTTTCAAATTAAAGTTTTATCTTGTTTTATATTACCTGAGGTGTTCGCTGTAATTCATATAAACTTAATTCCCATGTTTTGCTTAAGGGTTGAGTTCCATTTGTCTGCACAGCCTGAGACATTGCTGAAAATAAAATGAGAAGAGTAAAAGTTTAATTTTTTGAACAAGATAAAAATGCCAAAAAGTATTTTTGAATATAAGTAACTGAAGGCAAAAGATAATCCTTTTTAAAAAATCAACTGTATAAAAGTTCTTTAAAGTTCCAATAACAAGTGGTTAAAAAAGTTCATTAAATGTCAAAATTCAGATTTTACCTAAGAAATAATTAGTATACTCCAAAAATTAGAGAACGGTTTCTTCACATTTAAAAAAGGGAAAGGATTGAGGGTGGGAAAGAAGACATTAAAAAAATCATTCAGAAACTTTTGTTTGTTAATAGGCAAATGAGGAAAAGAAATGATAAATGATCTTAAAAGCCAAAGTTACTCCTTTTCTCTTCAAATGTGATGATCAGCAGATTTTGTATTTCTTAGATAAATCTCTAATAGTTAAAAAAGAATTTCTCTAAGTCAATTAAAAAAATGGTATATAAATATATGTATACTATTTTAACACAACCCTTCATTACCATAACAAAAATGTTAAATGTATAGTCATATTTCATACATAAAATGGTTCTTATACTTTTAGTTGTTTGTTTGTTTTTAGATATTCCCAGAAGGGGGAAAAAACCTCTTAAAGACAGAAACTAATTTTATTAAGCAAACTGAAAGAAAACTAAGAGCATGACAAAAGACAAATACCATCATTTATCTTTAGCCATTAAATACATATGTACATATAAATTTTGATTTGGTAAAACTTAATCTCAATTGATGGCCATCATTTCTATTGTTCACATACCAGTTTCAAATTTCATGGGCCTAGTTACTTATATAAATCTGCAATTCATTTTTCTTTAGTAAAGAATAAGACAGTAATTTATAAATCATTTTGTACTTGGATAAAAAGATAAATCCTTTACTCATTCAAAATTTTTTATCAGAAGGAAAAAATTTCAATAAGCTATTCTCCATATGTAAATGATAAGTGAATATGTAGCAAATAAAAAAAATCAAGAGATAATGAACAATTTGCAATGAAAAAGTAGTACATATGAGTAGAGCTAACTGGTGAGAAGAGTTATGATGATTGACTGTATTTTGATTTACTGTCACAATCTGCCAAGTAAGCTGCAAAAATATGCTCTGTCAAGAGAAAAATTATGACACTAGAGAAGAATTTTCTTTATGAGACAAGATTTTTACTTGATCATTTTCAATTCATTTAATAAAATGATATTACCAATTAATCAATCCAGAAACATTTAAGTGTTTACTATGCACGAGGCACTATTCTAAGTGCTGGACACACAAAGAAAAAAGCAAAACCAGTCCCTGACCTCAAGGAGCTTGCATTCTAATACAGGAGACAATATGGAGACAAATAAGCATATAAGATATATGTGGAGAGTAGATAACAAAGTAACCTTGTGGAAAGGCCTCCTGCAAAAAATAAGAGCTGTTAAGATCCCCAGTTGAAATGGTAGAGTAGAAAAGAGGACTTAAGAAGGTGCACGGCCAGGGGCAGCTAGGTGGGGCAGTAGATAGAGCACTGGCCCTGAAGTCAAGATGACCTGAGTTCAAATTTGGCCTCAGACCAAACACTTGACACTTACTAGCTGTGTGATCTTGGGCAAGTCACTTAACCCCAACTGCCAAAAAAAATAAAATAAAATAAAATAATTGGCAAGAAGGTACTCAACCAGCAAAAGAGACTGAGAAGGAAAAGTCAGACAGGTGAGAGAACCAGGAGAGAAAAATGTCTCACACTCGCGCACGAGAGAGAGGGAGAGAGAAAGAGAGAGCACCAAGGAGAAGTGGGTGACTGACAGTGTCACAGACAGTAGAGAAATCAAGGGGAATGAAAGGTGAGATAAAGCCATTGGATTTGATATGTAAGAATTATTGTTAACTTTGGATAGAGCACTTTCAGTTGAATGACGAGATCAAAAGCCAAACTATAGAGTTAGGAAGACAGAGAAGAAAGGAAATAGAAGCATCTACTGTAGATAACCTTCTCAAGGAGTTTTGCCATGAAAAGGAGGAAAGATCCAGGACGACATCAGGAATGGATGGATCCAGTGAGGATTTTCTGAGGATGAGGGAGACATGGGTATATTTGTAAACAGTAGGGAAGCAAACCCTAGATAGGGAGACACAAGGTTAGTAAGAGAGTTGGGATGATAGATGGGGCAAACTGCTGGAGAAGATGAGACAGAACAGGATCACTTGTTCACAGAGAGGGGTTTGACTTGGCAAGGAGAAGGGCCACCTATAACCAACCATTTCAAAACACACCTAGACCTACCAAATCTACCCTTCAAGGCATATATTTCATTATTTCTCTTTAGCCAAAAGTTTTACTTACTGTTTTTAAATACATTAACTTGTACATTAACTTGCATATGGCACAGCTGTTTATAGCCCATATTATTTAGTCTTGAATTCCTAGTAAAATACTTTACCACCTTTCATGAAAAGTTTGGAATTTCCTAAAAGTAGAACTCAGTATTCTTAATTCACTCAAAAATATGAGACATACACACGTACAAAGTTTATTTCAAATATATTAAGTTATGGGGCAGCTAAGTGGCACAGTGGATAAAGCACTGGGCTTAGTGTCAGTAAGACATGAGTTTAAATCTAGCCTCAGATACTTTCTAACTGTGTGATCCTGGACAAAATCACTTAACCCTGTTTGACTCAGTTTCCTCATCTGTAAAATGACATGAAGAAGGAAATGGCGAACCATTCCCCTATCTTTGCCAAGAAAACTCCAAATGGGGTCATGAAGAGTTGGATATGACTTAAATGACTAAACAACAAAATTTAAGTTATATAACTTCAACGTTTAGGATCATAAGATCCTACCTACATTTATAGCTGGAAGGAGATATGATCCAATCCCAACCCCATTTTACAAATAAGAAACTGGGTTACTTTTGTTACCTTGAGCAAGTCAAGTCTCAGTTTTACTTGATTCCTCTGGTCTTTTATATTTAAAACTATGAGATCATAGCCCCATTAATTTAATGTATTACCACATTTATGCAGTAGAAAGAAGACTGGACTTAGAATCACAAGACTTGGGTTCATGTCCAGATTTTAGTTTTGTGCCCCTAGTCAAGTAACAACCTCTTTCAGGCTAAGTTTCTTATTTGTAAAATGAGGTTAATGCCTGCCCAAACTTCAGAGGATTGTTACAAGGATCCAAATGAACTAATGGAGATGGGAGTATTTTATTAACTAAATATATCAGACAAGGAGATAACCTAAAAGAGGTTATATTCTACTGGGGAGGAATTCAACAGATAAAGATAAGTCGATGCACAATGATTTAATGTGGAAGAGAACGCTAACATGTGAAATGGCACATGAGAAAGTATATCCCAGGCATTATTAAAGATGAAGGTGGAGGGATTCAAGAACTCTAAGGAAAGGCAGAGGGCAAAAACTGGTTAAGTTTGGCTGAAATAAAGAACATGTGAAGGAAGAACTTTGTGAAATACAGCTAAGAAGTTAAGCCATAGTCAGACATTAATGGGTTTTAAATTAAGAGTTTGTACTTTATCCGAGAGGCCCCAAGGTCACCCCACTGCATCCAGGGCCATCTATAGTTGTCCTGATCTGTATCTGGCCACTGGCTACAGATGAGAAAGTGAGGCTGGTGACTTTGTACAGCCCTCCCTCACTGAAATCCAATGTCATGGTCTTCTTCAAGAATGAAGGACAAAAAACAGTAGGGAACCATTAAAGGTTCTTGAGCAGGGAAGGGAAAGACATATCTTAAGACAGGCTTTAGGAAGATTCTTTTGGAAGCTACATGGAAGATACATTGAAGAAAGGAGAGACAAAGGCAGAAGTCCAATTATGTGTAGGGTTCCTATACTTTTATTTAATCTTCCTCTTACCTGAAACGTGACTAAAAAGTTATTGTCTTTAGCAACTGTCTACTTGTCTCAATTAAACTGAGTGTGATTTAAACTAAAGTTTAGCCTTCCTGACACTGTCTTGATAAGGTCTTGCGACTCTTTTAAAGCATTTGTCTTCAGTTACCTATCTTTAATTTCATTTCTTGTATGTGTTCTTTTTAATTGATTTTGCCAATGACGTCACCATTCAATGACACCAGATTCTTTAGACATCAATCCCTTTTCTTCCTCAACAGGGGTGATGACACCAGAATTTTTTGAGAAACTTTAACATGAACTATCTAGTTAGATGCAACCATTGATTTATTTCATGGACTCAACTATGCCGGGAGTTCTTAACTTGGAGTCTGAGGCTAGATTTCAGGGATCTATGAACTTGGTTGGGGGTAAAACCTACTTCTTTATTGTTACTAACCTCTAACTGAAATTTAGCATTTTTTTCAATTATTTAAAAATAGTATTCTGAAAAGTGGTCCACAGGCTTTGCCAGACTGACAAATGCTTCCATGACACAAAAAAAGTTAACACTTGAAAGTCTATTAAGCATCTATGTTAACTACAGAGAAACATACTACGTGTTGGGGGTGATCTTGAGTTTAGCTAAAACATGGACCCACTTCATCACTCCTGCTAAAAGACTCTAGAAAGATCAAGCCTTGGAACTGGGCTCCAAACTCAAACACAAATAATTAGCTTTATAATTAAATAGCTAATAATAATAGCTAACCTATGCATAGCACTTTGACGCTTGCAAAGCACATGTGTTTATACACACACATACATATCTATGTATAGATATAATATTATTTGAGCCAAACTATTATTATCATCTCTATTTACAGAAAAGGAAACTCAGGCTGAGTTAAGTTACCCCAGGTCACAGAGCTACCAAATGACTGAGTTAAGCCGCCTGTTTTTCTGTCCACTGCACCTTAACTATGTCCTCCTCTTCAAACTTGTGCTGCAGATCTGGAGTCTAGAAGACTTAGGTTCAAATCCTGCCTTTGACACTTACTAACTATATGACCATGGACAAGTTATTTATTTATTTTTTTGTGTCTCAATTTATCTGTAAAATGAAGTGGTTGGA